CCTAAGGAAGTTGTTTTTGGAATCCTTATATCTTATATACTATAATTAAGACTTAGCTTCTATAGATCTTATATTTTAATAGCTTTAATCTAATAATGTGACTTTTTCCTATATTAAAAAAATCAACTTTTTCGAGTTAGGGGCCCCTATTAATTACACTTACCTAAGGAAGTTGTTTTTGGAATCCTTATATCTTATATACTATAATTAAGACTTAGCTTCTATAGATTTTATATTTTAATAGTCTTAACTTAATAATATGAGTTTTTCCTATACTAAAAAAATCAACTTTTTCGAGTTAGGGGCTTCTATTAATTACACATACCTAAGGACGTTATTTTTGGAATCCTTATACCTTATATACTATAATTAATACTTAGCTTCTATAGATTTTATATTTTAATAGCTTTACTTTAATAGAATAAATTTCTCTTATACTAAAATATTCATACTTAACCCTAAGCCTCTCACTTAGTAAGTAAAAACTAAGCTTATTCTAAGTCTAGAATCTCTTAATAACTTTTACTTCTATTAACTTAATCTAATAAAAGGCTTATTTTTAAAATTCTTAGGGTTAATATACTATAACCTAGGTCTTAGTCTTATTATATTTAATATTATAATTGAGTTTTTATTCAGGAATCTAAGATTTTCCTTTACTTTAATTAAATTAAAATTAACTAAAAAGCTATTAGTAATCCGAGCTTGATAAAAGGTTTATTTTTAGAATCCTTATATATAATATACTATATATAGACCTTAGCTTTATTATATTCTATATTATAATCAGATTCTTTAGAAAACTTAAGATTTCCCTTAGGTTTCTTAGATTAAAAATTAACTAAAGGATATTACTAATCCGAACTTAATAAAAAGCTTATATTTAGAGTTTCCGGGTATTATATACTATATATAAGCCTTAACTTTATTATATTTAATATTATACTTAAGACTTTATTAAAGAAACTAAGATTTTCTTTTCTTTTAATTCTTTTAAAATTAATTAAAAAGGAAGTAGTAGTCCGATCCTTATATAAACCCTAAATCTTAATAGCCCTTATCTTATAATATATAGAAGTAGTACTCCTATTATAATATACCTAAAACTTCTACTAGGTATATTAAGCTCTTAGTCTTAGCTTAAGGTATAAGTATTTCTACTTAATTACTTAGACTTATTATTAATAGAATTAGCTGAAATCTATATATAACTAGATCTATATATAATAAGCCTAAATATAACATTAAACGTATTTTAAAGATTCGAGTTACTAATCTATTAGGTCTAACCTTAAAAACCCTAGAAAAATCAAACTCAAATTTCTTTTACTATATTATAGATCTATTTTTAGACTTTTAGCCGCTAGTTTAGCTTTATACTACTATGAGAGCTTATATATAAATTTTGGGCCTATTATATAAGAAATAACTAAAGTCAAAAATTATTCGTTTTTCTTACGACTTTCTAGCTTTGCTTATTAATAACCGAGCTTATATAATACTAAATCTTATAAAAAGTAGCTCTAAATATCGGGCTAAATTATGAGATTCTATATATAAAATTCTATACTAGGTTTATTAATACTTTTAGAGGGTACTATACGACTTTCGAATTCCTTAGTACTCTCTTAATAAAAAGTAATAGTACTCTTAGAGAGTACTATAGTAGGGTGGTATAGGGAATACTTATTTAAAGGAGGTTAAGGGGAAGTACTCCTCTTTACTAAGATCCCTTATACCTAGAAAGTATATTAGTTAGATACTAGGTTAGCTTACTTTAGATTATATATATGTGACTTCGTGATTTCCTTAGTAAAATTCTAGAATTCTAGAGTTCTGACTTGAAATGTATATGACTTAACAATAAGTAAACACTAGCTTATAATTTTTTATCTCTAGGAAGCCCTCACTCACTTCTTTCTAAATCTCTACTTTTTATCTTAATAACTCACGATTTAGCTAAGGAATAACTACTTTATAGTGAGAAACAAAAACTCGAATAATTTTTAACTAGAAAGAGTACTAGGTAAGGGTAGTCTAAGCTACTCGCCCTACTTAGATTTTTGTTTCTCGCTAAGAAATAGCCCTTATATAAGAGGTAATATTCTATTTAAAGAAGAGTTCTTATATCTTATATACTAGAAATAATACTTACTTTTAATATATTTTATATTTTAATTAATTACTAACTCTAGTAGAGTTAGTTTTTCTATATTTCAAAAACTCCCATTTTTGATCTCTTAAACTCTTATTAATACTATTTAATCCGGAATATTATATAAGAAACCCTAGATCTTATATATTATAAGTAATACTTATTCCCTATTATTTTTCTATTCTAATAACCTTTTCCTAAATAGATTTTGTTTTTTCTAACCTAAAAGATTATATCTTTAAGTTAGAGACCCCTATTAATAATACTAATATAAAACGTTATTTCTTAGAATCCCTAATCTTATATACTTTAAAGAATACTTCGCCTCTTAATATTTTATATTCTAAGAAGTCCTTTATTAATAACTTTAATCTTTAGTTAATAAAACCTAAATACCTTTTTAATTTAAAGGTTTATATTAACTAAATTTATATAATATAATTATTTTTAGAGTCTCTATATCTTATATAAGCTATTTAAGACTAATCTTTTTATAAACCTATATTTTAATCTAACTTTAATTACAAAAATTTGTATTTTCTCTTATCTTATAACTACTCCTATAATAGCTAGTATTATATAATTAGTTTTAAGCTAAGGTTCAAATCAAGCTTAGTATCTTAGAGGTTCTACTCTTACTAGCTTATACCCTACTATACCTCACTCTCTCCTTCTCTCCTTAGCTTTAGATTCTCAAGACATAGGAATCTTAGAGCTTTGAGCCTCGTTCTATTGCTTTATTCCACAACTCTCTTACTTTCTCTCCTAATCCCTAGTTCCAAAAAAAAAAACTCTAAAAAGAAGGAAATCAAAAAAGGATTAGTGCCCCACACCCATTAACACCCAGAGGCCGATTCTTTCCTGAGAGAGAGGCGACCTCTGGATGTTAATAGGTGTGGAGCGTGGACCTATCAGGAATTGAACCTGAGCTACAGAGTATAGAGACTCTATGTGCTACCACTGCACTATAGGGCCTTTGCTTTTAGTAACTGCAATTCGAATGCATGTAGGGAGTGGCTTAGCCTACGCCATACCAAGGAATTTAAAGAATAAATCCTTATTCTAATATATACGGCCAGATCCTAGCCAGGCTACATATTCTTCTTCTCTTAAATCAGCCCTCAGCTCCTATTCTAGCTCTCACTAAGGAATAAGCGAGCCCCCTAAATCTTAGCTCACTTATGGGGGCCTATTAGACCCCCTGATCAAAGTTTAATAGGAGAGAATACCAAATGCGGCTAGGCTGATTTAATAACTGGACTCTAAGTTACGAGGGCTTGAGGATATTAGACCTTACTACTTCTAGTGAGGTATCTATGTAATCAATTCTATAGAACTAAGATAGCCCTACTAAACGCTGCTTTTATTACGTGTCTAGCCCTAGCACCCGCGAAACCGTATAATTCAGAAGTTAAAGTTTTCGGATTTTCAGAGAAAAATCACTCAAATCCGGTGTTTTTGAATCTCTCTCGCGCGTACCAAGCCCAAAAAACCTCCAGAAAGCCCTAGAACCAAAAAGACCAGATAATAAAAAATAATATAGAAGAGTTATGACCCTAGGAGGAATCGAACGTCCGTACTTCTCGACCCGTAAATACGGGCGAGAATGTATTACCATTATACTATAGGGTCTTTTTAGTAACCGCAATTTGAATGCATATTAGGACTAGCTTAGCCTACGCTATGCCAAGGAATTTAAAGGATAAATCCTTATTCTAATATATAGGACTATATCCTAACCTGGGTACATGTTCTTCTTTACTTGAACTAGGCCTCTTAGCCCCTATTCTAGCTCTCACTAAGAAATAAGCGAGCCCTCAATAACTTAGCTCATTTATCAGGGCCTACTAGACCCCCTGTTCAAAGTTTAATAGGAGAGAATGCCAAATGCAGCTAGGCTGATTTAATAACTAGACTCTAAGTTACGAGGGCTTAAGGATATTAGACCTTACTACTTCTACTGAGGAATCTGTCTAATCCATTTTATTGAGCTACAGCAGACCTACCCTAGGCTATTTCTGGTAGGTAGCTAGGTCAAGGGCCCGCAAAACCGTATAATTTAGAACCTAGGGTTTTCAGATTTTTAGAGAATAATTACTCAATTCTAGTGTTTTTGAATTTCTCTTATATATACTGAGCCAAAAAAAACACCAGAAAGGCCTAAACCCAAAAAGGACTAGACAATAAAAAATAATATATAGTATTTATAGCATAAATGACCCCAAGAGGAATCGAACCTCTACGTTCTTCGACCGGTGGACACCGGCGAAACCGTGCTACTATTACACTATAGGGTCTTCTTTAGTAACTGTAATTCGAATACATGTAGGGAGTGGCTTAGCCTGTGCTATGCCAAGGAATTTAAAGAATAAATCCTTATTCTAATATATAGGGTAAATGTCTACTCTAGTTACATCTTCTTCTTCTCTTAAACCAGGCCTTAGCCCCTATTCTAGCTCTTACTAATAAATAAGCGAGCTATCAAAAACTTAGCTCACTTATTAGGGCCTATCAGACCCCCTACCCGAAGTTTAATAGGAGAGAATACCGAATGCGGCTAGGCTGATTTAATAACTGGACTCAAAGTACCAAGGGCTTAAGGATATTAAAGGGTACTACCTCTCCTAAGGAATCTGTCTAATCCACTTTATTGAGCTAAGATAGACCTACTTGGAGCTGCTTTTATTATGTCCCTAGTCCTAGCACCCGCGAAACCGTATAATATAGAACAATTAGTTTTCAGATTTTCAGAGAAAAATCACTCAAATTTAATGTTTTTGACTAGAGGATTCGTAGTTAGTATGCACTACACGTGCTAGTTCCTACCTGACCATTCTAGTCTCTCCTAACGGGACCGCCCTTAGGTAAGGAGGTAGAGCTATAGGAGATAGTTAAAAGGCTCTATAATACTATCTCTGAGTTAGTTCGTTTCTAATAGCTCTCGGTCAGCTAATAGCAAGGAGATATGTGGTGCGGCTAGTCAGTAGCTCAGCTAGCTAGGGGATGTGTGGTATACGGCTACTTACTGAGTACTAGGTAATTAGCTTTAGTTAATTAGCTTAGCTACTACCGAAGAGGCTCAATCCCCCCCCCCCCCCCCCCGCTTTCTGCTACCCCTGAGAGCGTGAACGCTAGTGCCCTTCTTAATGGGAACCGCTCTCACTTATCCCTCGATTAGAGGTGTCCTACTTTGGCGCTTACGAGACCTAAATCCTAAGGTTAGAGTATAAGCGGGGAAGTCTTGGGTTATAGTAGTATATAAAGACTTAACTTAGATTCCTTTCACCGAATTAACCTCAAGACTTGAATTTACTATTAGTTTTAACCGTGGTTTGGACTTTGGAAACAAGGACACTACTAGCGTTTAATGCCCCTATTAAACTCAGGTTAGGACATTGCTTTCTAGTATAGTATAGAGTGACAGTAGAGTATAGAGTGATAGTAGAGTATAGAGTAATAGTAGACCCTAGAGTGACAGCAGACCCTAGAGTGACAGCAGACCCTAGAGTGACAGTAGACCCTAGAGTAACAGTAGAGCATAGAGTGACAGCAGAGCATAGAGTGACAGTAGAGTATAGAGTGACAGTAGAGCATAGAGTAATAGCAGAGCATAGAGTGACAGTAGAGTATAGAGTGACAGTAGAGCATAGAGTAATAGCAGAGCATAGAGTGACAGCAGACCCGAGAGTGACAGTAGACCCTAGAGTGACAGCAGACCCTAGAGTGACAGTAGACCCTAGAGTGATAGTAGAGCATAGAGTAATAGCAGAGCATAGAGTGACAGCAGACCCGAGAGTGACAGTAGACCCTAGAGTGACAGTAGACCCTAGAGTGATAGTAGAGCATAGAGTGACAGCAGAGCATAGAGTGACAGTAGAGCATAGAGGGATAGTAATAACTGGACCTAAGTAATAGCTAAGTAATAGCAAGAATATAGGGCTCAGGTAATATTAATAGTAGTGACTAAATGACAGCAGTGGCTATATGACAGCAAGGCATGTCTGCTCTGATCTTGTCTTTACAAGAGTAGATTAACTTGGAGTCCTCGTCGACAGACGCAACTGATCTTGACCTTATAAGAGTGGATTAACTTGTAGTCTGCGTCGACTGTCTGCTCTGATCTTGGCTTTACAAGAGCGGATTGACTTGCAGTCCACGTCGACAGACGCAACTAATCTTGACCTTACAAGAGTGGATTAACTTGCGGTCCTCGTCGATAGACGCAAGTCATGTTCTTGACCTTATAAGAGCGGATTGACTTGTAGTCTGCGTCGATAGACAGACGCAACTGATCTTGTCTTTACAAGAGTGGATTAACTTGTAGTCTGCGTCGACTGTCTGCTCTAATCTTGACCTTACAAGAGCGGATTAACTTGCGGTCTGCGTCGACTAACGCAATGCATGTCTGTTTTGATCTTGACTTTACAAGAGTGGATTGACTTGCAGTCTGCGTCAATAGACAGACGCAACTAATCTTGACCTTACAAGAGCGGATTGACTTGCAGTCCTCGTCGACAGACGCAAGTCATGTTCTTGACCTTACAAGAGCGGTTTAACTTGCAGTCCTCGTCGACTATCTGCTCTAATCTTGACCTTACAAGAGTGGATTAACTTGTAGTCTGCGTCGACTGTCTGCTCTGATCTTGGCTTTACAAGAGCGGATTGACTTGCGGTCTGCGTCGACTGTCTGCTCTGATCTTGACCTTACAAGAGTGGATTAACTTGCGGTCCTCGTCGACAGACGCAAGTCCAAGAGTGGATTAACTTACAGTCCTCGTCGACAGACGCAAGTCCAAGAGTGGATTAACTTATAGTCCTCGTCGACAGACGCAACTAATCTTGGCTTTACAAGAGTGGATTAACTTGCGGTCCTCGTCGACAGACGCAACTAATCTTGGCTTTACAAGAGTGGATTAACTTGCGGTCCTCGTCGACAGACGCAACTAATCTTGACCTTACAAGAGTAGATTAACTTATAGTCCTCGTCGACTAATTATCTACTCTAGCCTTGACCTTACAGGAGCGCATTGACCTACAGTCCTCGCCGACTAATACTATGGTTTTATTATTGACGGAAGTTAGCTAGAAAAGAGCTCAAGGTGAAGCTTCGTGATGTAATCCAATTACACAGCCACCAGCGAACTGGAACGGAATTCGGAGGGGGATGCCTGTAAACTCGAGGTCGTACATATGAGGTGCCTAGCTTATGCTATCTCTGGGGCCTCGATGCCTTTTGGAATGCGTGTTACTCCCATGTCACGGGATTTTACTCACCGCGGTCGTCGTCACAGATGACTTCTACACCAATATAGAATTAGGATTAGCTAGATAAAGGCGGGGTATAGCTGCGACTCGGCTACCCAAGGTGCCGAATTAGTCCTTAGAACGTGGTGTCGCAAATAATCAGAACCTATTACTAGTAGCAAGTTAGGTTTCTAGTTAGATATCTGTATCTCCTCGTATAATTCCCACTTGAGTATTTGGTTCCAAGAGGAGGAATAGAGTGTATATATAGAAGGGTCCTACTCTAGCCTCCACCGAAGCCCATAAAGAGCTTCGAGTGCCTGGCGGGCATAAGGATATTGCTATCCAGGTGTCTGGCCATGGGGGCGGCGTCGTCAAGTAATTAGGTGAGGCCTCACGCATCAGGCACGCTTCAGGCACCATTCCCTGTAGCCCTCGCGTGTACGGGGACGGAGGCCTTACCCGTTGCCTTACGCTTCAGGCACCATTCCCTGTAGCCCTCGCGCGCACCAGGTCGACGCGTGCCTAGCGCGCATTAAGCGACGACACCCCCTTAAAAATCCGTCGCTGGCTCTAGCTAATCTCCCCAGCTTACGCCCTACACCACTTATGTGAACGGATGCTAGCAGGAGAATCGCGCGAGATTCGACCACGGAATTGCTCGGGAAAAAGCATTATACCTTGGCTTTAATAGTGCCATGCTAACCTGATGCTAGGAGGGAAACCGCACGATGTTCAACCACGGAATCGCTCGAGAAATCATGGCACCGTGGCTTCAATGGGGTAACAATGACCCGGAATGGAATAGGGTAGGCCATGGGATAGCATTATAAATATGCTTGCTATCCCACCACTTGATCCTGCGCCCTTCACGCTCTCCTTTCCTTCCTCGGCCCAATACTCCAGATATCAGCCCCCAAGCATCATGATCTCTTCAGGCCAACCAGCCCAGCCGGTGATAGAGTGGAACCCCTTAGCAAGCGACCACGTGCTACTCTTCCGTGAACAGCTCGAGAGCCGAGGGGCGCAGGGCCAGCTGTTTACCTGCCCGACCACCGGGACCGAGGTGCTAATGCTCATCCCGAGCCTGGCTCTCAAGCGGTAGTTGGACCTAGCCCCGGCCCGGCGCGAACGAAGCCCGAGCCCAGCAGCTCAATCCCCGCCCGGGCAGGAATAGCCAGGAGTCGCGGGCCCAGCAGGCCAACCTCCGCCAGGACAGGAAGAGGAACCGCCGCCGCGGTTGCAGCCCCTGCCGGCGCCACCGCCCGGGAAGTTGGTGTGGTGGGGGGACGAGCCGCCACAGCGAACCGAGCCCCGGAGCCACAGCGAGCCTCCGCGTCGCTACTAAGCGTATGGGACCGCCCCCCCGCCCGAGCCGCTCCCTAGAGACCTCATCTTCTCGGTAACCAATAAGAACCGGAAGAAGTTACAGCAACAGGCGAAGAAGAAGGCCACCAAATCGGGTAGGGTGGCCAAGCCCAAGCCCAAGCCCAAGCCCAAGTCCAAGCCCAAGCCCAAGCAGGCCAAGGCTACGAAGAAACGCCAGCAGCTCTCGGCCGAGACGATTAACCTGGTCTCGGATGAGGAAGAGGATGCGGATGAGGATGCGGATGCGGATGAGGAAGAGGATAAGGATGAGGATGAGGACGAGAATGAGGGTGTGGAGGAGTAGGAGCTAGTATTGAGTCAACGGACGGTAGACATGAATACGTGGTTCGACAAGGATCAGCAGAAGTATGGAGTATATACGAAACCCAACCTCCGGGCTAAGATGGTGAAGAATACTGAGGCGATTGCGGGGCGTCAGGTGGTCCGAGATTAGAAGGATTTCTACACGTGCTGGCGAGGCAATGGGCAGTTGAAGTCGCGGCTAACATCGCGAGACGGCTCGCAGCTGCAGCGGCCAGCCGGGGTCAACTACCCCGCCGAGTTCCAGCGGCTCTACGACGTCTATGACCGGGTCAGGTCGACGGACTTGACCATGAGCTTCAAGGCCATCACGTACCGGTGTCGGATGGTCCGGCTTTACGAGCTCTACCATGCGGCTGAATCG